AAAGCTGAAACATTCTGCCGGATGGTGTTGTGTGGACTCACAGTTATATAAACACCCAGCCTACACACAGTGCCGCTAACATCTTTACGCCGGTGGAAAGTACAACACTAGTAACACTTTTGTGTCCCTGTAGCACTCCATCATCGACCCCTGTTAGCCCTGCTTCCATCAGACTTTAACACAGACATCTCAGTTGACTCCTACATAAAAAGAACCCACAAAAACCTGCGTAATTCAACAAACTACCAGTGAGTCAGAATAACCATTTCTGTTCACTTATAATGGCCCTGAAATATTCGCTCCTAGCAGCTGAATAGCAAATGGTTTTGGAATGGCTGCACCTGTAAATCTCACCCAGTGTTTCATTTGCTTTTCAACTTCAGCTTCCTCTTTTTTCATTACACATATGGGTAATGTACAACGTGGTTATTATTTCTAGTTGTATGGAAAAAAAAGAAATTGTTGTATCAGATCCCGATAAGTTCCCCAATGAAGAATCAGGACAGTTGAACCCAGGAAATAGTTGTTGCCCAATGTGCTGGCTGTGAGTAATGCTTCCTTGGTGGTAGTTCAGGGTTTAAGTGTTAAGCGGGTCTTTTTCTTGACCTGTGCTCTCCTCAGACACTTCTATCGGACACATATTCCCTCTTTGGGAGACAGTCAGACATGGGATGTTGTGAGGGCCTGGTTGTGGCACACTATGAGGTCAGCAAGGCTAAGACTAAGTGGCTTTAACCTCCTGGCCCCATTGGGGAAGAGACTGCAAAATTGGTGGCCTGCAGTTTTGGTCTGACCCATGGTCATGGCCTTGTAGTTGATTGATGGAAGGGAATTCAAGCACTCAGTTCAGACCACTGAACACTGCAGCCCTGTAATAATAAAGCCAAAGGGCTGTGTTGGTATGGGCGTGTGGTCAGGTCCCCGGTGAGATGTAAAAGGATCTAGTAAGTCAAATGCAAAAACACTTCAAAGCAGTTTACAATTTAATCAGGAAGTATTTTGCAGCTCTGGAAAGTTATGACGACAACGACAGATATTTTATTTAGTAGAAATATGCCGTTCACGTTACGAAGTGATCCAGCTGGAATTGTGCTTGCACGTATTAAGTCCTCCACATTAAATGACAAAATGTGTTTTTGTCCTCGCCCTCTCGAGGGACAAAGAGGCTTTTTCTGATCTGTCGGCAGGACGACAGACATTGTCAGTACCTTCCAAAAAAAATCTTTTTTTATGATACGAGTGGTGCGGTTAAGGTTTGGTCAAGTTAAGGCACAAAAATTACTCGTGGTTTGGATTAAAGTTACTTTAGTTAAAGGGAAGCTTCGTTGTCACGGTTGTAATACCAAATGCTTGGTTAAGGTTCGAAGACGAGGTTGATTAGAGAAACCAGGGTTGACGGTCTGCCGGAAAATTAAACCAACAGAGGTTTCCTGTGTTGAAGTCCAATATTTTGTCTACTCATGATTCCAACGGCTGCTTGAGGGCTTTGTCACTTGAATGCAAACTTGCCATTTTGGGGCACTTGCTGGAACAGTTGATACTGTCTTCTGCTTGGGAAGAAAGTCTCCTGTTTTATCAAAAGTCAACTTTTTTGTTGGAGAACCCTTAATGCTGTTGCACTCAGTGGCCTTGGCGGAGTGACTGTGATTTTCAAGCAGGGCTGGTGTCCGTCTGAAAGCAACCTTAGGCTTATAGAGAAAAATTAAAAAAACGTTATGCATTGCAACTCTTGAGTTTTGGTGCTGGGTTAGGCTAGAAAAGCCATTGATGGAGCATCCTTCTTACATGTAATAACATGTATTTCATTGAGCTGCTCAGAAATGAGGGAGTGTCTCAGATTGCTACAGTAACTAACGTTATAATCTGTAACCCTCTCTCAACATCCATCATAAAAGACTTCTCCTGAGCTTCTATGGGCATATACTTTTCTGCGCTGCAAAACCTAATTGTTTGTTTCCAGAGGCTGCCCTTGGGCAGTTACTCTTTCAAGGCTTATATTGCAGTAAACATGCAGCAAATGCTTCTTCGAAGATGTTAAGTGTTTCCCCATTTGTAAGGTAAACCAACTGTAATTCACTGTGCCCCATGCAATATGGATGAAATGCATTAAGAATGAGGGAAAGTACATTGCCTGCGATTGGGCCAATTGCTCAAGGCTTCAAACCCACCAACACACCCTCTGGATCTACAATTTGATTTGAAGGCAGAGAACTGGATGCAAACCTAAAGGAACTTTTGGAGCAGGTGATGCATCATTCAACAGGGTGACCAAATAATTTAGGCTTTATTTGCTCTTGTGATTGCCTTATTTTCACACGCACACTCTGTGCTGAGCCACTTGCCTGCAGGGTCGCTCCAGCCTGTGATTTGGTACTCGGGTTTTAATATAGTCCACCTCAACCTAGCCAGCAGTTATTCAATTCAGTTTGATGGAATGCAATTTTGCGTGTTACGTGCGTGTATGTTGACATGCTTTTTAACGTAGACTGCCTCCCACTGTACCCTCCTCCTACAATATTCAGCTGCTTCTATCACGAGTTCACTTGCTTTCTTTCATGCCGAGGTCTTCTTTTTGTCTGACCTGCCCACTGTGGGTAGTTGGGTTTGAGAGGAGATGCCACCTCAATTAAAAAAAAAAAAAGGCTTTTTCAACTGCGAGTGAAAAGCAATCATAACTTAAATTTCTCTGCTGAGTATGGGCCAACAGATCAGGTGTCTCCAGACCCCAAAAGATTTTCATCTGGGATTTTGATGCAGTTGTCTGACCAACCTTCACTTTTGGAGAGAGTGAACTATAAACTTCAATTCATGTCACATTCATCTTACTTGTTGTAACGGGTTCTTCACTTAGAGGAAAAAAAAGACTTCCTTCCATCCATCCATTATCCGTAACCACTTATCCTATTCAGGGTCGCAGGGGGGCTGGACAGTAATGGACTATTGGTCGGCTTGTTAACACTCAACTCTAAGAGAAAATGCTAAGCCTTTTTACCATAGTTTCTGTTCCCAAGATGTGCACACTGTATCCTCGGCACTGGTGTCAGGGTATATGAGTATGAGAGCAACTTAAGTACAAAATCTGCAAAAAAGTTATTGTATTCGCATTAATGGGTCCAGGGGGGGACAAACATGCAGACGTTTTAAACTGTTGAGTCATTTGAGTGTGGATAACACAGTGGTTAACCTCCAGGTCTGAAAAGGGAGGCCATTGCGGAAGTGACCTAAACTTGCATTCTTTCTACAGGCCAGCAGGGGGCGACTCCTCTGGTTGCCAAACGAAGTCCGATCGTATAGAAGACTATGAGAAACTTACTCTACTTCTCACTTGATTTACTACCTCAGTAATCATTTTAAACATAAGTTTATGGTCTTAATCTCTAGTTTTAAGTCTTCTTCAACACAGCATGATGTTCATTTAGTAAATGATGGTCCCAGTAAAATAGACCATAAAGCAGAGTATGTTTTAGGATGGGGCTACCTTGTGATTGACAGGTCAGAGTTGTCGTTGTTTTCGTCTTACCACTTTAACCCTTTCACAGTGTGTTTTCAGTTCATAAACAGTGATTGTAACATTTTGGTTGCCTAGGAATGTGTTCATTCAGCGTTCGATTGTACTAAGTTCCACCTTCTTGTATCACTTCTAATTGCAAAAAGCGAAGATTGGTGACAGCCAAAAACTAAGATGGCGACGGCCAAAAGGCCAAACTAGAGACCTCAAAACAGCAGTCTACAGACCATTGGTTGTCATCACTGTGAATACATCCACTTCTTATATACAGCCTGCGAGATACCATGTACTTTAGATTTTTTTAAAAAAACGTGTCTTTATAGTTGTGCATTTTAGGACTAGAAAAGAAAGCAACCTCCAAACTGTTAAGATGGCGAGTATCACTCTAACTTGAACTTGATTCTGCGTACGTAGTTCCCCCGAGATCTTCATCCTCTGCCCAACAGAGACCTCAGAGCATGTGACTGAATTGCAAATCTCTGGTCTAATCCTCCAAGGAACAGTGTATGCAGCGTTAGCATCTGCATGCAGAAATTCTGCCAGCCTGATCTGCTTCATCCTGAGAGGCAGATATCGGATGACTGTCAGGATAAAGCAAATCTGTAATGCGTCCAGGGATCATCATCCTCATCAAGGCACAGACGCAGGCAGCAACAGCATCCCAGCAAGCCAGTAACGGACAGCGATGTGCGTCGGATTTCACAACAGGATAACAAAACTCGTTTAAAATGCAGAGACACACGTGTTTCGCGCTTGCACCAGTTTAAACCTGTCTCTCTGTGAAAACACAGGGCTGTTGATATTCCCACCGGGTCCTGACCGAGGCTTTGTGCTCATCAATCTTGTTTGCCAATCGCATCACATGCCGTGTAATGATAGATGGCAAAGTTAGATCTGCCCTCTATTTGGTAAAATAGATTAGCTGCTTCAACTGGTGACGGTCAAGTTGGTGTCATTTTGAAAAGGTCCATACGACCAATTATTTTCCCCATGAAAAGATATCACAGAGGTATTGGAATGCTATTTTGTGTGTGTGTGTGTGTGTGTGTGTGCGTGTGCGTGTGTGTGTGTGTGTGTGCGCGTACGTGCACACTATGCGTAACTGCTTGGCAGCTACGGTGTTGGTAAATGATGCAACTCCCTGAAACAAAGGTCTTCCTCAAAACAAAAGGTGTGTGTGTGTGTGTGTGTGTGTGTGTGTGTGTGTGTGTGTGTGTGCGTGCGTGCGTGCGTGCGTGCTCATTTGCATAGAACCCTAGACAGTAAGCTATATCCATTCCAAACTCTATTTCCTTTAGAAAAGAGTGTTCCCCGTCGGCAGCCCTTGAAAGCATCGTTATTTTATCTGGTTGTGATGCCTCTGTAATGTTTTGAATAGCTGTTTTTAATCATCTGTGTCAAGTGTCTTTATCACTTTTCTGTTCCTGTTCCCTTGCTTTCTAAAGTTTCTAAAGTTTTTTTTTTTTTAATCATGTTTTCTCTTGTCTTTCAGAATAAAGTAATGAGCATTGATGCCGTGAAAGTCAAACTGCAGGTAAGAACAATATATCTCTTTGAATCTTTTTGTCTTCATCGGCTTTCATTTAGTCAAAGTTATGAACTTGTGCGTTCTTTTTTGAAAAACAAATCACCAGCGACTGTTTCCCAAGGCACACATACCTCCCATACATCTTCACTGCCTGCCGTGGGAGGGCCAAGACGAAGGAAACGATGACTTAATGAGGCCTGAGTTAATCTCTATCAGTCAATTAGCCCGCTGCTCTGCCTGACTGAAGACACGAGGGGGAATAACAGACTTCCCATCAGATTACCAGGCCTGGAAGTTATCAGCAAGAGACAGAGAGAGATGCCGGTGAATCCTCGTCGTTCAAAAACAGCATTAGATACTGTCTGATGGGTTTTTCACCTTAATTACACAATGCTCGTGCTCTCGCTCTCTGCATCTTCCTCATCTTTAATGGATCGGTGTTCATCCATCAGTCATATCTGTCGAATGTGATATTTCAGCTGATTTCCCAGGAACGAGTTGAATGAAAGTTGCAGGCCCATTTTTTAACTTCTTAGAAATTGTGAAACAGAAATTAAATTAGAACATTACAGCAGAGTCCTGCACAGGTCCAGTTTTGCTCCACTATGTTCACCAGATAATCACTAACAGAACAGGTTGCACACTGTGGATTTAGCTGAACATTTTCAGTTGCCTGCTTCATCTGGAAACCAATGAGGGCATCAAAGAGTCGAAATATTAAAGTTGAGGGCCGTGAAACCAAAACAATGAGCTCAAAGATGCTAAAACTGTCCGTAGAGCTGAGGTGACCTGCAGAGCTGTGTGACGTGATAAAATAATCTGCATCAGCACTGCAGCATCTGCATTTTTTTGGGAAAATGTCCTCTTTACCATTTGCTGGCCATGTTTTATGCCTTTGTCCTTGACTTTGTTTTAGGACGCATTCTCTTAGGATGACTTAATTAATTGTAAAGTTGTACTAACTGTAATATTCTGTCTTAAATGATTCCCAGATTAGAACAAAAGACCTGAACTTAAATGTAAAATGTGACAAAGATCCTGTGAGAAAGGGGAAGGGAGAGAGAAATAGCGTGTAGCTTAAAGGAATACAATGGGGGGTCAGATAAAAATGTAAATGCCTTTTAAACGTCCAGTGATCATTGTCAGTGTCATTATCTGTGTCATGAATCTGCCTATGTGAAATAATGAAATTAACAAAGCACAGGTGTTAGTGTTGCAGTGTTGTAAGTACGATAAGGAAAAATGTAAGGTCAGAGTGTTGTTTTGGTCTACTTGGCTGCTGAGCTTACATTCTTACATTGTGTATGTTCAACACACACTCAAATATTTTCCTTACACTGTTGGTTTCTCACCTTTTTTTATTTTTGAAAGGCTAAAAAAAAGGCAACACCTCCCATGTTAAATGCCAAGTCACTCAAACTCAGTCTCCATACACACCTCTTTAGCCAGCCCGTTCTCACTCCAAACTCATCAAATCCAATACGGCAACTTGGTCAGAGGCCTTACCTGTCAAACGATGACGCTCGACATGGCTGTAATTATAGAGCGCTGCAGGAGTTAGTCCTAAAACATGGAAATAAGTCAACATTTTTGAAGCTCTAGTTCCCTCAAAGTCAATGTTTTTATTTTAATGGCTTTTGGGTATATGCCTGAAATAAGGTCTTTGCCGAACAAAGATTTCAACATTTTGTTCTACGATATAAAATACGCCAGTAAATACCCCTTATTATCATTAGGCCTACGTAAACGTTTCTGTGTTGCGTACGTAACGTAGCCTTCTTAACTACGTAACAAACGTACTTATTTTAACCCAAAACACAATCTATAAGAATAAAAGAATATGTTTTGAAAGGTGTATGCATGTAATTGACACATGTCAAACTGAGGGGTGCCTAGAGCATCATAGTTTAGAGACTAAAAACTGCTGTATTTGACGAGTTGGAAGTGAGAAAGGTGCTTCAGCATGTCGAGAAATGGGTTGTTACCGTTGCTAATTGCTCGGACAATGCCGTTGTAGCAAATCAAATAACAGCTGGTTCTCAATGTCATGGTGACTGATGGTGATGATGATGATAAAGATGTCCTCTTGTTTTTCCTTTTTAGATTTGGGACACTGCTGGACAGGAGCGTTTCCGGAGTGTCACACACGCTTACTACCGCGATGCTAACGGTAGGATTCCTCTGTGTTGGTTTCTGTGAGCCTCTTTGATTGTGACTGACATCCTCCCCTCTACTCTCTACTTCCTCCTGACACCGCCAAGCTGCTTCGACTTATGTCTCAGATCTCTTGTTTACTTCAAACGTGTGATTGACATCGACAGTCTCGCTGTAGCAAAATAAACACCCAAGTTGCAACTGATTTGATGGACTTGTGTGTGTGTGTGTGTGTGTGTGTGTGTGTGTGTGTGTGTGTGTGTGTGTGTGTGCAGGCAGGCATACACCAGAGGCTCTGTGAAGTGCAGAAAGGCTAACCACTGGGTGGGAAAATGAGCCAGCCTCTCACACAGCGGGGGGGGGATGTACAGCTATGAGCTATTCCCGTGTGTCTGTGTGAGTTTGTATGTGTGTGTGTGTGTGTGTGTGTAGCAGCAATATCACAAAACAACCCCGCTGAGTACAGATAGCAGTATGCCTCAGGGCCAACCTCAATGAGCAGGTGTTGTGGAACACACACACACACACGCTGCTGTAGCTACATGTATTATCTCAAACACGAAAACCATTCGGCTCATACAAAATAGCAATGTAACAGATGGTTTTATCTTTATGTATGATAAATATCTTTACGTGTGTGTCTGCATGTGTGTGTGTGTACATGTTTGTGTTTAAATGGGTATGCACATGTATAGAATGTGTTTTCACGTTATCTGTAACTCTGTAACTGCTGTGTGTGTGTGTGTGTGTGTGTGTGTGTGAGAGTGAGTGAGTGAGTGAGTGTAGCTGGCCAGTTGCCCGGTGTTATTCCGTTCTGTCAACAGTTTACCCTCGGTGATCTTTAACAAGGCACCCAGGGAGCCCCGAACCAGCTCCTCCGATTTGTCCGTCTGTTACTGACTTTTAAATAAAGCCCATTCGGTCTGACGGGCAGGACCAGGCGAGGAGAAGCAGCCCCAATGCAGCTGTCACGAAAGCAGTCAATTCCTGTGAACTAATGGATGGGTTTGTCCGTGACTCCGACATTGAAATGTAAAGATCCGACAGTCAGAGGACTCTGGCGCGTTTCTCAGCATCGACAGGTAGAAGTGAGCGAGTCCGATGTCTTGAAAAAAAGACTAAGCGATTGCTGTGCCTCGACATTAAATCTATATTCCAAAGCATGACACATCCATTTTGGACACAAACACTGCCAAAAATTCATCATTTAAATACTTGCAAGGAGGTTAAAGTCCGTAGTTATTATTAGTAAATTATTCATCGATCCATGTGAGTGTGTGGCATGGTGCAGTTTTTCCCTCACTAATTATGTAGATTCAAGTTGTTCTTGGTATTTATCATTCTTTTTCATCTCCACTTGAAACAGTAGCCGAGCGAGTACTCTCCGTTCTCTCTGCCACCGAACGGCTCCACCGCCATCTGCTATTAGTTGAGAAAAAGATCTGAGCGCATACGGTGCAAAGCCGAAAAAAAGTGTCCACAAGTCTCAATGACAATGTCAAGTGAGCGGCCTGCCAGCAACAGGAACGTCTCCAGACTGCCGGTGATGTCACGACTCAAGCTAAAAAAGCATATTCTTCAAATGAGTCATAACTCGTAGTCCTTTCTTATGAATACACGTCTGCTTAGCGGGCTCTTTCTCTCGGTTGGAGGCGGATGTAAACACAGCATATTTCATAAGTCATACCTGGCATGAATCATCTGATGCAGAGAGCGAGTATAATAAAAACACCGCAGTGCAGAAAGTCTGGCAGCAAAGATACATGTTTGGCTATTTAAGAAGTTTCTTGGCAATTCCAGCTTCCTGAAATCTTTATCTTGTTATTAATATTAGTAATATTGCCACTTAACACAACCTGTTAATCGCTTAGATCTTGAAATGCTAAAACAAAGTCATGAGGGGGCAAGCAGGAGAAGTCCATCACGCAAGTCAAAAACCAAAGCAAATGTCAAAATGACAATCCACGCTGTTTGTTGTAAATGTTCAGCAAAGGTTCCACACCGAGTTTGTGATTTAACTTTGACCTAATTAGGTCATACATTGTGCACACACTCACTTTTCCTGTTCAGTGAGGGATGACCTACGACACACAGCTGTAGGATTATAAAGAGCAAGATAGTCCGCTCAGCGTCACATGCGAAACTAAAAAGAAACGTTGACGTTGATGTCGCGTGAGTCGATTGTGCTGTGAGTCACATGAGTCATTCGTAAAGTTAACGTCAACCACGCTCTTTTTCCTAAACCTAATTTAGTGGTTTTGTTGCCTAAACCTAACTTCCTGTGAAGTTTATTTTGAAAAGACACTATGCATGAGTGGAAACTGCAGCTGACAACCTCGGAAGCGTTCAAATGTTACAGTAATGTAAAAAGCATTTAATGATATCCCAAATTGATACTTTGCCCTAAACCAGCTATTGCAGCTACTATTTTCTTCCAGCTTTGGCCCCAATCTCTGCTGTCATCAAACCCTTAATGAGAAAGTAAGACGATCTGGACAGTGAATGCAAATAAGCTGGTTGTTGGCCCATCTGGTGTACAGGGCGCCACGTAGGTCCAGAACCCCCCTTCCCCCCCCCCCCCCCTTCCCCAATGGAGCTGACAGTTTGCCATTCCAACAGCATGGAGCCAAACCACAGGCTGTTCAAAAAGAGGAAAAGCAGACCCAGTGGGGGAGACAGGTAATGAAGGGGAACAGACGGGAAAGGGAGGGACAGAGATGTAAAATAAGAGAGAGGATATTGAGAGATTGAGTGGGACAAGGTAAAAGATGAAGGAAATATTATGAAAGATACATTTTATCTATCAAATCACTAAAGGAAACATGTTCAAATATGCAAACCACCTGTCTTTAGCTCTCCAGGCTGGCTGAGGCTGGGAGCCAAAAAACAAAAACAAAAGGCAACTGCTGGACGAATCCCCCAACGTATAGAGAAAGAGAGCAGGAGACATTATAGGATGGAGAGAAATCATTATAGAGCTTTTAATGGAAGCTCGCCCTGTAATGAAGTGGCATTCGGCCTCAATAGAAGGCTGCACCCTATAAAGAGTACAGGAGGAGTTCAAGGTTGTCAAGAGCGCTCTCAGGTAAAAGAAGAAGGTGAGCAGCTTTAATCCAGCCCCTTCATGCACTTATCCTTCATGACCAATGATGTGCTACTTAATGTGTTCCTTAAAGTATAGTTTTGAAACAATTTTATTTGTAAGGAATCACCAAGTGAACAGCCTGTCTCCACCATCCCCTCTGTGAGAGCAGTCACTTTCTGACATAGATACACCACATGTTCAAGGGATGGACCTTTCAGCTTGAAATTAAACTCCTCTAATGTCCTTTTACCATTACCATTATCGCAGGAAGTAAAAAAAACATGATGAATGTTAAGAAACCGAGTTAATACATTTCACAGCACAAGAAATGCCTGCCTTACACGTGGATGCTTCAAATGGTGGTGTATAGGATTAAAAGGGTTGCCCCGCGCTGTGTATCTCAGAACGAGGAGCTTTGGCTGCTTTGTTTCCCTATTAATGGCCTCCATCGGAGTCGGCATCCGACTCCCTCTCCCTTAGATAGCTTCAGTTCCACCAGCGTCTGTAACTAAGTGGATATCCTCACAGAGGGTTTCTTTTATCCTATTGTGAAAAAGAAAGGGGAGGTATTCCTTGAGGTTTTCTGTCTATATTCTAAGCCAAGTGGGGATTCGAACCGCTCATTAATTTCTTCAAAGTGAAACTATAAAGGAAGTGTTGTTTTTGAAGTTAGGCAGGTGCATAGGAAAGTCACCCTACCTTAAGTTGTTGATTATTCTAGACCGAGACAAAACAGCAATCAATAACGATTCTACAACTACAGCTCCCAGGTCGTTTGGCTAGTGTGCGGTGTCTAAGACTCGTGGGTGTCGTATAAGGCTGCAATGGTTTGCGTATTCATGCTGAACCGTCGTGGTACGGGGGTCGCGGCAGAATACATTGTATGTAGATTGACACAATACAAATTAATATAGGTCACATGTAGCCCACAGCTAACAGAATCCATGGCAATTAATCATCCTGATAACGTTCCGCAAAGCATTATGGGAGCTGTGGTCCCAAAACCTAGTTAGACTCCTAGTCTATTTCAAACCGATCACCAGGGGCTGGTAAAACCAGGCGGTTGTGCTGTGTCCAGGTACTTCACACGTAATGGGCAGCGCTCTACTAATAATAGCTACTCACCTCTTGCTTCGACCTGTTGTCGACTCTGAACGCCACAAAGCCACCCACATGGCGGAAATGAGCAAAGGACAGGAGAAGATAGAAAAGTCGTGACAAATGGTGACTGTGGGTCTCACAGTGACTACATCAACTGCATATCGAATCAGTGTCATTACCTCATTATGTCGCCGCCCTGCTCTGCCTCATCCCATGCTGCCTGTATCATCTTTTATTCCCTCTATTCCATCTTCTTGGGTCAGTACTTTCATCACTAATGAGCGACTGGAGGGCCTTAATCGGCGGCAGCGGAGGATTGTGGGGGCGAAGCCTGTCCCCTCTGAGGCGGGAGGATGGACAGCGGCAGAGGAGAGCTGAGCGGAGGGGTGAGGGAAAGTGATGGAAAAGAAGAGATGGAGGGAAGAGGAAAAGGGAAGGAGGGAGATGGATGGAGAAGAGGGATTGGAAACAAAACATTGGAGGTATTGCTCCACTAGCCGTGAGCTGTGCGATCCGTCATCGAGCTCTCTCTGTGTCTTTTTCATGCGCACACAGACACACACGCCTTTCTAGCTTCCTGCTTATTAAAACGGACGTGCAAGGTCAGAGAGAAAGGCATTTTTGAGGGTTTATTCTCTGGCATCTGTGTGAAGTGAGCTGAGAGGAGGTGTGTGTGCACGCTAATGTATCTCCCTGCTTCTACTCCCCATTGAGCTAATTGTCCATACAGTATAATATCCGTCTCACTTAATCGCCTTCAGATATTGATCCAGCTATGATATTCCGCATGCTTTACCTGTTCATTTCAGTTCAGTTCTCTTTAACGTTTA